CATCTCCACCAACAATGTACAAATATTTTCGGGACTTCTAAACGACAATCTTCTTACAACTTTATGGTCTGTTAGATCAAAGGATATCTTGTCCCAGGGATGTTTTGGAACCCCAAATTATTCCATGGCATCATCGAGATCCTCAGTTATCATGTCATTATAATATTATTGAATTTCTCAACTTGCATTTTAAAACTGAATTAAGCACAACTCGTTGAAATGATCGTTACACCCGTTCCTCAGATCCAAAATATAAACAAATACGATTTGAGGTTGGAAAACCCGGGGAGATGCCCTATCTACTGCGTCATACCAGTCGATCATTCCCGCTCCCTGGGGAACGGCTCCCTCTCTCAATTTTTTTTCAAGAATACCGTTTCGGCCGACTGTCATAAAACCCCGCCCACTTCTCCCGGCTGTTCTACTCCCTAGTCGTCAAGAATAGGTACACAGACGTATCCAAGTTTGATTGATTGAATGATGTTATTTAAGAAAAAACCTTAAATTAAAAATTTTTGAAAAAAATTAAGTTGTTTCTGCTGAATTGTGCTCCGTGTGGTGGAATGCGGCAGTTAGAAAGTATTTCCCAGATTTCCTCATGGAAAATGTTATCCTTAAATTTCCAAGCCCAGTAATTTCCGTGATGTAGTCGGTAATTATACGCGATTATTTTGGATGTAATTTAACAAGAAGGCTTACTTTTTTCAGAGTCTCGGCGTAGTTCTTTACGTGCTAGTTTGCGGTGCACTGCCATTCGATGGATGTTCGCTGCAAGCACTTCGGGACCGAGTTTTATCGGGCCGTTTCCGAATTCCGTATTTTATGAGCCAAGGTCAGTATACATTCACGGTCGAAGAATCCAAACTGATGCGAATATTTCTATCTAGACTGTGAATCACTAATAAGGAAAATGCTGGTCTTAGAACCAACTAAGCGATTCAGCATACAACAAGTTAAGAAGCATAGGTGGATCCAACTAGTTTCGTTACCTACGTTTTTACCAATCATTCCTACATCGAACACGCACCCTAACGAACAAATTCTTAGACTGATGCAAAGCTTAGGGATTGACAGCCTAAAAACCCGAGAGGTGAAGAGGACATGTTGCCAGGTGTATAGTGGATTTATACAGATTTCCTCTTTTAGTCTATTCGACTTGGATGTTATGATCATCATGCGGCAATATATTACCTGCTTTTGGATAAGCTACGGAGTCAGTTGGTGGGGGGAGAAACCCAAACAGTAGTTCGGGAAGTTCAAAGAAGACGACCTTCAAATGTAGCCGAACAAGCAATGAGGAAAATTGGTACGAGAACTTTTGCTTTACATTTACCTTTTTCGTACAACACCGTTTCTTTCAGACAAACGCAGATTATTAATTGTTATTGATATAAACAGGGAGGGCAAACACCACAGAAGACTGCAGGCGACTACTACAGCATGCTACAATCGCTCCAACTGCTAGTAATAGCAAAATAAGCATGGGCTCAGTTACTTCTTCTAGTAAGCCAATCAACTCTTCACCTGTTCACGGAATCGATGCTGCCAAACTTCTAGCGGCCACAAACCGCGAAGACGCCTTAAAAGTTCTAAACCAAGCATCTTCGTCCAATACGTTCAATATGTGTTCTGAAGCCACCAGATTAATGTCTACTTTGCAAATGTCTGCGGTTCCATCAATTCCTGCAGATTCGTCTCACTTCAAAGAGCATGCGAAAGGGAATATTCACACTTGTCCGACAGGACTGCATTTGAATCCATTTGAGCATGCTGACCTCAAGCGGAGTTTGGATCGCTTTAGTGCAAGGCGAGTATAGACATTATATAGGAAACCTTCTGTTAAACACGTTTAACCACGAACCCCCTTATCTAATTCTATCCTATAATATAAATATTTAATCCTATCCTAATGGAAAATTGAATCTAAAGAAAGTGCATCTTGTTCTATCGGCCGAGTAGTTCTGTGGGATAACAAGCAGTAATATTCCGCTTCCGGCAAGAATAATAAAATAAAAGGCTTTTAATTTTTAACATATTGGGTGACTGAAGACTCGCTGGGAGCCCACTCTAAATTTATTTAACATACACAACCCGTTTAGGTTATTTATAATATATAACCATCATCAGGTAACTAGACCCGAAAATACATAAGCAGTCAATGGGATGAACATAGAACATAGAGAGTTAAATGCAAGCTAAGCTTTTTAAAATAACCAAAAACTACGCCAACTCAATTACAGGTGGAAAAAAGCCGGCCATAGGTCGCAATACAAGGGTTAAAACGGATGAAAACACATCTATTAGGCCCTAAAGGAGGCTATCACTGAACAATTGAAACACCAAACAACAATATTCAAAATACCAACAGTAGAAGCTTAGGTTGGTAAAATAATGAGTTTAATTAGCGTAAAACAGGGGAACAAAAGCAGATTGTACGAAAAGCGGAGAAACACGGCAAACGCGCTAGACGTCATAGTTTAAAAACACACAATCCTAAAGTTGACTTTGGTCGTCAACTTTCGTCACTTCACATTTCTAGACGTGTGCAGATTATGTAGTTTAGCTGTGACTGTAAAACGATGGTGGGAAATCAATAGTGGGAAGTAGATTGTTGGCTAAACAGTTTAAGCTCCCTTCTGGTCACCATTCGATCGATCATCTCAGGCTTGTAGTTGTTTTTCCTTGCTATTTGCTTAATTATATTAATATCCTTTGTTCTGGCCTCAGGGGACAGAGGAATGCTGAGAAGTCTGGCATTAGATGTTTGTGTTGGGTTTCTATAGATGTCGAAAGATAATTTGTCATCAATAATGAAGATAGTGGTGTCCAGGAAACTTATACTTCTTCCAGACTTTATCCATTTTGTCAATTTTATGTTGTTGTTTAAAGAATTGATGCGTTTGAAAAATTCTTAGAGTTTCTCGCTAGTACCCAGCCAACAACACAGGATGTAATCAACGTATCTGTACCAGAACAGAATCCGGTCCACAAATTTTGATCTCACAATCTGTTCTGCAAAGAAATCCCTAAGCCTTTAGCCTGTCTGGAAATAACCTCCTGAAGACAAAAAAAGTCCCGTTTAAGACAGTGTTCAAGGTGTAAAAGCGCTATCAGCTGTAGAGTTCGGTAGGCCAGAGTTGGCGAGGGGGTCCCGGCACAATTTCATGGCGAGAGAAATTGGCATGTTTGTGAACAAGCTCATAACGTCAAAGGAAACCAAAGTGGACGTTTTGGGAACTGTTGTGTCTTGAATTTTGTAGATTAAGTCCGTGGTATTTGTAATGGTGTAAGAGGGTTGGAAGATGCTATTTTCCATCAGACATCACGTAAGGTTCCTTGCCACAATCGATGCCGTGGCCTTGGTGACAGACACCACAGGCCTCATCGGCGTGCTCTCCTGGAGAGTCTTTGGTAATCCGCAAAGCCTTGGGAGCCTGGGATTCATAGTAGTGAAAGTTCGAAAGGTAAAGCTGTCCCCAGATTATTAGCTGTTTGTTTGATTAAATCCTTCGCCGGTGATACGTAATCCCTCAACGGATAGTATCGTAAAGGAATCCGGACCCGCCAAAAGCGACGCAACCCTGTAAATTTAGTTATCCCTTTTCATTATCACGATGCAATTGTCTTTATCAGCTTTTGTGAAAATGAGGTTTGATTTTATTCAAGATGGACTAATCAAGGGTGGCGATATCAGAGTTAGGCCTTGAATTTCGTGATCCCTTAGAAAGGTGGCAATGAATGAGGAAAATTAGCTCTGATGAGGTCGTCATTAGGAGATTTACATCTTAACATAATTTACAAATAGTAAGGGAAAACAACAGCAAGCCTGAGATGATCGATTGTGTGATTGTACCAGAAAGGAGTTTCAACTGTTTCACCCACAATCTACTTTCCTCTCGCCCCCTTCCCAGTGACGGAGCCTAGGATATTTGCCTCCATTTCATACTTGCCGCTTTCTTACTTTCTTACTTTTTGTTTCACTGAGGTTTGGGAAATGCTCTCTTTCGCACGCCCACAGCTGATAATCTGGCGCTCTGGGTTGTGTGGGACTCCATTCGCTCTATTTACTCATTAAAACCTTATCTTGACCTCCGAGGTGGTGTTTCGCCTGTCACGGCGGTCATTTTTGTATTATTATGCCGTTGTATTTTTCTCTCTCAGTGTGTATTCAATAAATTCAACAAGAATTTTGAGGGATGTACGCATGACCTGGTCTGGTAGTTATCCCTGGCTGCAGTTCGTCGATTTTCCCAAACAGGTGCTTCTTTACGTTCTCTCTGCTGAGGAGAAAAGTTCTTCTCGGGATATGCGACCCCCGCTATGGCCATCTTAGTCCTGGAAACCGCATCCCTGTACGACATGTGTGTGGTTTCCTCCCTTACGAAAGTTCCAACACACAGCCGCTCATATATTGGCTTNGTGCTGGTTCCCCTGAGGGTCTGCCTAACACGCTTTTGGTGGTTTTTCCGTCTGGCGCCTCTCGAGAGTTTTTAGCACCCTTTGGTACTTTGCCAGCTACAGAGCCCGACAGTTTTTCTGACAAAGTCCCGCCAGTATTTTGTGGTGGTATGATCGTGGTGGTGTTTTACTCCGCATCATTCCCACAAGCACCTAGAGAGGGGTTAGGTCCACCCACACAGAGCCCCGCATGTGTGGGTAAGGCTGGTACAATGAGGTGCGCCTAATTCCTCAAGGTTAGTCGCTTATGGCTGGACTTCCGCCCAACCTTGCATCTCTTGGCGGGCACTATACCGTTATAGTGACCTCGTCACGCGACCCGGGCAGTAAAACCAAGATCCCTGCGCCTTCTACAGTATCAATCTCGAAGCCGTAGCCACGAGAGTTGTTGCACTGCAGGCGGTTTGCGGTTTTTCCATCAGCTAGGCCATGACTTTCGATCCAGATCCGCGGGTTTTATTCCACGACCTTCACTTGTGGCCGTCACTAACTGGTCAAATGTATCTGACCGACCTTCCCCCTATCCGCTACGTCCGGACGCGTCCGATGAGTCGCTCAACCTGCACGGGACTGGAAGCGTGGAGTCTCCTGTAATCCAGCTGCTTGGAGGTCGGGTTTAGATGATAGCGAGTTAAGGTACAGGGCGTTTTGCGTTGGCCGGGCGTCCACACTGCGCATGGGGTCAATATAGGAATCATTGGGGAACCTGAGGTGGACAGGTTGATCAATACTTTCTTAGTGGCTTTCCCACCATCGTTCTACAAAGGCACAGCTAAACTATATAATCGGGACACGTCTACAAATATGAAGAGGAACAACTTGGCAGCGCCACGAGTTGACGACCAGAGTTAACTTTAGGATTGTGTGTTGGGACTATGATGGGTTTGCCGTGTTTCTCCTCTTTTCGTACACTCTGCTTGCATTCCCCTGTTTTACCACTCGTCAAACTTATGATTTTACCAACTTGTGCCTTTGCCGTTGACATTTTGAATATTGTTGTTTTTTTAATTGTTCAGCGAATTTATTGTAAGCATTTTGCAAGCGCCAGCAACAAAGAAGTGCTGAAATAAATTTAAACAAACTGGGGACTTTTCTTGTGACTTTACAATCAGTGATAGTGACAGTAGAGGCGTATTTACTACTGCCTGACAGAGAAAGTCAAACTCAGCGAACTGTTGCCAACTGTAGAAAAAAATTGGTCGCATTTCTGACTGGTTTACTCATCAGTTCAGTGGAAGCTTTCGAGAGCCGAGAAAACCATCTCTGAAAATTCAGACCACTCGTGCTTGCAAAATAGTTTTGCGCTATTATCGATAATAAGCGAGCAATGACAATTTTCTTAAATTATGCAAAATTTTCAGAACAAATTTTCGAAATTTTTTCCAATTTTGTAATGTTTAACTTCGGTCAAATTTTGATATTCGAGGTTTTGGAAAATTCCAATAAAATTAATTATTAGGATTAAAACTTTGATACTAGGTTAATGAGGTTTCACCAAAAGATACCTCCATTATCTGGCTACAATTTGGTGTCAAGTCCCTTCAAAATTGACTCGTCCAGAAGCCGTTTTATTCAAAAAAATATCCGGCTGGACTGACTACACTTGTTAATGAGAAGTTCGTTGTTTAATCAATTTTGCTTATTAACTCAAAAACAGTTGAAAATCAATATAGAACATTTATATCGAATGGGCCTAGAATTGAAGGAATAGCTCGAAAATGCAATTAAAAGTACGGCATTTCATTTAAAAATATGTATTTGGTCTGTCACTTGAATTTGAGACACCCTGTATCGCTTGATACCATATACTAGACATAAACTAGACGTTAATATCTACAACTCTTGTATTTAACATTTTTCTCTGAATTTAAAATTAGATGCAGAAGCAGGATGGCCAACGCGCAATCAATAACCCTGTATATATCTACAGTTGAAACGTGTTATCTACATGTTTCAAATCCGTTTGTAAATTTCATATTGATGTTTGGCGTTCTGTTTATTTACACTATTAGGGTTTGATTCTTTTACATCTAACGTCAATTTTTTTTACAGCGGATTCAAAAGCAGCGAATTTCAGATGCAATATTCCAGTTCGACCGATGAAGGTGTGGAAACAGACCTCGAGGAGCAACTATCGCAAAATCATGGCGGTCCTAGACTAAGTTATGCATCTTCGAGCTCTTCCAGCGGTGTAGTAAACACATTTAATACATCCAAAAGTCTTAGCCAGAACCTTAGTTGTGATAGCAATTTTGAAAGCTTGGAGTATCCCCTTTCTGAGTCCAGCGAATTAGCCAGTAGTTTGCCAAGTTGTACCTCTACCGACAAAAAGCCGGAGCCCGCAATGATTAGCTCAAACGCTCTGTGTAGTACCAAATATGCAATTGTTCCTAGATCAGTTCTACATAAGCACAATCCTCTAGTTCATATGTGTAGCTTTAAAACGTCGCGCAATATAACTAGATCGCCTATAGATTTCCGAGAAGGTAGACGAGCCAGCGACGGTTTGGTGGCTCAACAGCCATGTGATCAGTATGGTAGCACATTAGCCTTTAATTCTCAAAAGCTGAATGAAGCTTGCAAGACTAAGGGAATTCTGGATATGGGATTAGTGCAAAGAGAAGCCCTCAGGTTGCAAAGCCAATATCAAGCCCGGGATCCTCCGGAAGAAATGTCACACCGACAGAAACAGCATAGTCAGTACATGCAGCCACGTAGCACCAAAAAAATTAGTTTACCCGACAACTTTAGTTACTCCAGCACCTGTATGGAACCCATTCAGCTACAAACGGCCATGCAGCACAGAATGTTGCAACAGAAACGGCAAATTCTGCAGAAACAATGCGCCATGGCATCTCAGCCAGCCAGTAGCATCTTAGATACCACTCACTTATCCAGGCGGCACATGCTCAGACAGGCCAGTTACAAAATAGCTCAACAGCAACCTGTATTGCCCCCATTACCCCCATTGCCTTTATCGGAAACTGAGAGTAAAGATTTGATCGCCTTTCAGTCTTTAGTTGAAGGCTCCACGGAGTGTGCCAGAAGTTCGCTGTCAACCACCATGCAAAGCTCTTGCCAGATCAACGAACATAACATGGCTTCCAAGTCGATAGCTTGGCAAAAGACAGCACCCAGTTGGCATCAGGTACTTCAGCGACTGTAGTGCTGCACCGTTGCATTTTGTTGTGTGGTTTTGTCTAGTAGGTTTAGATGCGTTTATTTATTGCTTGCTTTTTGTGTTTAAGGCTGCACTTTGAGTGTTGCGTGTTATTAGAAGTTCCGTGTGAACATACGGTTATTTTTTTGATATAACTTGGCTGTTAAATATATTTCTGCATCACATATTGGCGACCAATAACTCCATTAGAAGGATGTTTTAGGATGATATTATAAATTGAAATACACATCAGGTAGAAAACTCGCCAATTTTACACAAACGCCCCTTGCAATTGGCGATTTAACCTCGTATAATGTGAACTAGTCAATTAATTCACAAACGTTGAAAACATATATGACGATTTACGGGCGATGGCGCATTATACGGTGTCCAAACCGGACCGGGCGCGCTTGAGACGTCTTCGCAATGTACGAGTCTCAAGTAATGACGTTGCAGGCGTACAGAAAGCGCGCTGATAACTCGATAAATTGCTGGTCGAAATTTCGACGGCAAACTAATGTAAATTGTGACACATTGCAAGCTGATTAGTTTTCTACTCTCTTGGGAAGCTGGAATATGATTAAATTGTCCATATCTTGGTATAAAATTTCACTTAGGTCTTCAATTGAATCAGGTTTTGTAATGTATGGCCCTTGAAGAAAAGTTTATTAGGGTAAGATCGGGCGACCGTACCGGGCGTTCAACTGGCCCCCGCCCTCCAATTCAATTATTAGGAAATACTGCATTTAGCCACTTCCTAACTGCTCTTGAATAACGAGGGGTTGCACCGTCCTGTTGGAAATCTATGTCATTTAGAAATTCCTCCGGATTGTTGCTGACGATTTCTTGTATCTCCGGATAAATCTGGTTTTGTAGCATATCTAGATGCACCGGTAGGATTCTGATCAATAGATATGAAATACTATATAATGAATAAGTGGGTACATCTGTGTGGTCTTGGCCTTCTTGATCACTGTCGTCACATTTTGGAGTGAAGGCGCCTGAGGACACCGAAAATACAACCCACACTGATTTTGTACGCCCTTCTTCATATCTAAGTGTACCTTTTATTTGGGTAAATTAGATTTCCTTGCTTGCACAACGTATATGGGGTGGAATTTTTTTAAATAAAAGCACCCCACTATTTTTTTAACCTAAAGTATCCATACTAATAAGGAAATAATAAAAAATTACACTTCTGCACTGATATTGCTGTATTATGCGAACAGGGGAAGAGTGCAAGTGAACGATCAAATCCATTCTCACTACGTACTGAAGAGACAGTAAGAAAATTAAAGATGGTAAAGGCATAGAAACAGGTAAGTTTTCTTCATGTTGATATAAATATATCTGTGGTATATAGTGGACGGAAAACTTTAATTTTTATATATTTTTATATGATGTATTACCGTAAGGATGAAACTCAAGCGTCACACTAAAATTAGCCACAACTAATCCTAACCGTATTCACCAATGATTTTGCTAAATGTGTGACTGAACTCTCCCTTACTTTGAACTTAGACGTGCGTGTTTAGTGCCAAGATTACGTGAGATACTTGTCGTCACCTTATAACGTACTGAAGTTTAATGTTGGTGCCTTTTGACGAACTTTTCTTCACTGTCCGGTTGTTTGAGTGTTGTGTTACCAGAAAACGTTAAAAAACTTTATAGATGTGCCATATAAACCTGGAAGATGAATAAAACTAGAGGACAGTAATCGGAAAATCGTGACTTCAATCGCATCCTGCAATTTTGTCTTTGCACATTTTTTTATTCGCTTATTTTGTTTATTTATGGTCAACTAACTGTCCTACAATTTTTTTTGGCTTTACATTACTTTTAAGCAACTTATAAACAATCTAAATTTGAATATCGATTTAGCGCGCCTAAACGACGCGCTAGCTTTTGCTGGACGGCTGACGTAACCACCCCCGACTTTGATATCGGCTTGCATTTGGTTCGCGTGCACTTTAATGGTTGGTAATGTGGAAAAAATGGTTTATAAATATTGTATGATGCCGGAATGTACCAGTACGACGGTGTCTACAGCAGAAAAAAAACATTTATAAACGTGCCTTTAGATGACGAATATGAAAGTCGAAATGGAAGTGGAAAAACGAAATATAAATAAGAAAAATATGAAAGAAAAAATATGATCCGTTTGAAGAAAATCCAGATAGAACAAAACAAAAAAAAAATTTTCTGTACAGTCACTGGTTAAAATTTATCCACCAGTCCAATAGTTTTTTATTCAATCTGAGAACAAAAAGTTGTTCTTCTTAATGTACCATGTCCTACCAGAAGTTTGATCACCAAAACAGAGCCATCTGAACCTTGCTCACCACCAGCCTGAAGAGTGTGCTTGAGGTCACGCCCCATCAATCGCGTAAATTGTTCAGCCATGATGTTTTGCGTATTAATTAACTGCTGCTCAACTTGAACCGGTGTTCGGAATATCAGAGATTTAATGTGTTCTGGTGTCCTGAGTATGTTACATTCACGGGAGGAATGCAGGCCCTTCCTCGGGGGAGTTATCGGGACAATTAAGTGTCCGGTGTTTGAGAAAGTGCAGTTGTTATGCGCTGCTTCAAGTACTCCTGGTAGGCTCAGCCGCAATATAATCAAACCAGTTTATGTAATGAAGTGTGTATGTACAGGGTGGGCCACTAAGAGAGGTGGTCGTATGTAAAGTGTATGTCGTGTATGTAAAGTGGCTCAGGGAAATGGCTGGAAATTACTTTCAAGTTTGCAAAATGGCCGCTAGAGGGCGAAATTGCAATAGCAAAGTTTAAATACGTATTTTTAGCGGTTTCAGATAGGCTAAGGTAGGTTGGAAGTACCTTCATTCTATTCTTGACAAACTTTCAGTTATTTCTTGTGGGAGTATTATTGTTCTAGCTAGTCAAATAAAGTGGTGGGGAAAAATCAAATAACGGTTCAAAAAGTTCTTAATAGCTCCGTATTGGCTTAACTAAATTCAACGCTTAATTTGCAATTGAACAGCTCTTGATTTACATTAACACCTACTATAAAATATTGGCCGATATGTGTGCTACTTTGGCCGCCAGAGGGCGCGCTATAAAAAGTCGTCAAACTTTTTCGATTTTCTTAAATTTTTTAAATGGAATGATATATAATTTTTTAGCTGCTTAGAAGGAGTATAAAAAATGAAGCAAAATAATGAAAACCACACACCGATATATTTGTTATAACCGAAGATATAAGCAATTTGACAATAACAATGATATTGTTGGGTTGTTGACAAAACAATCGGTTCTGAGAAGAACATCAGTTTCTTACAAATATACTTTGGACATATGAAACTACTTTTAACTCCAAAATTAAAATCAAATCCTGGGTTCTTCAGTCATTTATTGTTCATTTATCAATTTAAAAAAACGTTTCGGTGTTTTCCACCATCATCAGTTTTACTAAAATAACAGGTAGTAAAAAAAAAAAAAATTTTTAAATGTTCTCATTAATCTAAAAAACAATCACAGTTTGTCAATAGCTTGTTATATCACACACTAAAATACATTACAATTGCAACACTTTAAAATATTCTGAGATTAATTGGTCTTAACAGGTGATCAGCTAGGACAATCAATTCTGGGAAGAGACTAGAATT